GATGCCACAGTGATTCCACACCAACTCCCATCGTCCCCATGCTGCGGAGGGGCCAAAGAGCTCCCCTCTCTCTTTTAAGCATCCATTCAACCCGCGTGCTGGAAGGCCTCGCCTGTCACTTCAACTGTGGCGATGTTGACAACAATCCATTTAAACCGGTTACTGAATCAGCCCATTTTCTGCCTTCGACCCACATACTGAGGCAGGGATCAACCAATGGATTAACCGCTCTCCACACACGCACAAAACCACCGCAACCGAGCTGCGTAGCACACGAATATTTTTGCCAGCTTGTAATTATCTTGATTAAGTACGCTGCAGTGAAGGCAGCCGTCAAACACTTCAGAATGACTCAAGCCAGGGATGGAAGCGGCCAAGAGTGGGTGAATGCCACCCACACCGGGGATGGTCCCAATCTTCTCCTAGGAAACGTCCTTTTCAACACAGGTGACCTGGAGCACTTTTGCGCGTCTAAAAGAAACTAGGCAGGACTGTCCTGCCAAGCCAGGATGACCGCAAGGCAAAAGGACGCTGGTCAGATCTTAACAGCCTGGCAAAGTGGCACCACAAAGAGATCAGGTAGCCACCGCTTGGCTTGAACTCGTGCAGATTGCAGCAATCATCTCTGATTGGCAGAGAATCTATCTTAGTTACCTGTACAGAAATTTCCCCAGCTCTTCCTAGGTCCAGCTCAAACTGCTCGTGTTGGTCTTTTAAGGCCCTAAAATTTGGTCTAGTGGTTAAAGCACCAATCTAGAAAGTGGGAGACTGTGAGTTTTAGTCCCGCCTTAGGCACGAAAGCCGGCTGGGTGACTTTGGGCCAATCACCAGGAGGCGGTGAGTTCTAGTCCTGTCTTAGGCACGAAAGCCGGCTGGGTGACTTTGGGCCAATCACCAGGAGACGGTGAGTTCTAGTCCTGCCTTAGGCACGAAAGCCGGCTGGGTGACTTTGGACCAGTCCCTGTCTCTCTCAGCCCATCCTGCCTCACCAGGTTGTTGTTGTGGGGAAAATAGGAGGAAGGTAAGTTGGATATGTTCACCCCCTTGAGTTATTTATAAAAATAAAGGCAGGATACAAGCAAATAAATAAATAGTGTAAGCCCCTAATTTATGTATTAAGTTTTTATGTATTAAATTTAATTAAAATTTATGTATTAAATCTGACTATCCAAGCAACTCTGGGCAAACTTGCAATATATTTTGAAGCAGCTCCTTTTCCCACACCAATCTACCAGCATGCTAATATATTAGCCGATTGATCTTTTCCATCCAATATTGCTTCTGTTACGGGGTCAATCTATTTCAGCAAGGCTGTTCCTGATATAAAACACTTTTTCCACACTCAGAGGCTACCTATCAAGGCGGCTGCTTCACAGACTTGGACTGTAGCCCCAGGAAGTCTCCAAAAGTTACCACCAAATTTTATTTATTTCTTTTTTTAATGCAACGTAAGATGGAAATCGTCCTAATAAAGGCATCATAAACAAAAGAGGTTTGAAATTTACGTTCAGTCAAATGTTAGCTTTTCTGTTGGTTCTCTGCAGGATATTTCACAGGGACTGTGCAACAAACATACCCAGCAAAAAGAGATTTGTCTATCTGAACACAGCTGGGTATCCCTGCTTCAAGATCCTGGGAAAAATAATTCTTAAACCCAGCATATCAAAACTTTGTAGGCATTTGGGCTGCTCACCTCGACTTTTCACCTGCTGTTAACATTCATTTTGGATTCATTTTGATTTAACAACAACAACAACAACGAAGTGGCTTGTAAAGAAATAAAGCCTTGAAAACGCCAGAAATCTCATTGGCCAAACCTGGATGGGCAGGCCACCCTCACCTTAATGCCGGTCACCTCTTTCCAGACCCAGATGAAGACGGGCGAGAAGGTGGAGACCACCAGGACGCTGGTGAAGCGGCGTTTAATGACCGCCGGGTGGTCCCTGAAGGAGGAAAAGCGAAGTCTGGAAAAGTCCCCCCAAAACCTGCTGCCCCCCACCTGGAAGGGGGGCATGTCACGCAGTGCAGAGACCAAGGGAGCTGATCTGTTCGTTCACAAGACCCGGCTGACCCGGAGAAAGGAAAAGCCCGGGCTAACTTCAGCCTCGGGTGGGTTTCCCCACCGCAGAGAAGCTCCAAAGGTTCGAGTGGACTCCAGTGGGCTTGGATGGGCAGCGCCAAGTGGCCCCCTCCCCAATTTCTGCAAAGGGGTTTTACAGTATACAATCCCACCCCCACCAGCCCAGCCTGGCGCGTTTCCAGTAGGGAGAAGACCCCCGGCCTCTTGCAGGGGATCCAAGCCAGGCTGGGGCGGCGGTGGGGGGGAAGCCCCTCCGAGGGCCCTTGCAGGGGGAGGGTCTGCAGCTCCCCTGCCCCCCAATCCAGCCCCCTCCCCGTTCTCCCCCGGCCTCACCTGGGCAGGTGGCTCTTCCAGACATAGAGGCTGCCCACGTAGGAGCAGGCCAGGCCGAGGCAGGAGAAGAGCGAGGCCCAGCAGAGCCCCGACCCGGCGCCCCCCGCCGCCGCCGCCGCCTCGCCCTCCGCCGACATCGGGGCGCTGCAGGAGCGCGGTTCAGCCCGGCCGCCCAGGCGAGGCAGGCAGGCGGGCAGGGCCGCGTGGGGAGCCTCCGCCTCCCAAGCGCGGAAGAGGAAGCCGCCAGCCAGCCGAGGGGAGGGAAGCGGGCCGGGCTGCCCTGCGGCGGGGGATGCGGCACGGAGACCCCGGCCCGGGCCAGGCGGGCATCCCGCCCCCTGCCAGCGGTTCCCGCCAGGCCAGGCGACTCCCTCCTCCCCGGCCCGCCTCCCTTCGGCTCGGTCGGGGTCGGCAGGTTGACGGGACGCCCCCGGTTACGCAACCGGCCGACGCCGCCGCTCCTCGCCTGGAGCTCGCAAAGGCTTTGAGTCGAGGCACCTTCCGCCGCGGCGCCTGGCCCCGCTAGGGGGCGGCAGCTGCCCGCCTCCGTCTGCTCCGTGGGGAAGCTAAGCGGGGTCGGGCCCGGCTCAGGAGCGGAGGGGCAACGGGGGAAGCACCTTCCTCCATACCGGTAGCCTGCCCCCCTCGACTTACAACGTTTCTTTTAGGGACCGTCCAAAGTTAGAAGGCGCTTGTCACACTCGCGACCGTTGCCGCATCCCCACGCTCACGGAATTTGCATTTGGATGCTTGACTGCTGACTCATATTTATGACGGGGTCACATGATTCCCCCCCTTTTGAGACCCTCTGGCTAGCAAAGTCAACGGGGACTCCAGATTGGCTTCGCTACCGTGTTACCAATTGAACAGCCGCAGTGATTCGCGTAACAAGAAAAGTCGTAAAATGGGGCAAAACATCACTTAGCCGATGTCCCACCGAACGGCAAACATTTTGGCCTCAATCGTGGCCGTCAGGGGCCTGTGAAGTTATCAGGAACCAGGCTGGCTTTTGGTGTCCGGGCTGGGAAGAAATCCCGAGACGTGGCTGTTATGTCCTGAGGACTCTAGGAGTTCTCACTCAGGTCCACTCACTTTGTGTGGGCGTTCTTCCCCTTTTCCTCATTGGTTGATTCTCTCCAGCAGCCAGCTATAAAAGCAGGCTGCGGGGTCCAACCAGTTGCTGATTGCTGCGAGCCAGTTCCAGGCGTGGCAAGCACGGTCAGCCCTTTATTGTTATAATAAAGTATTGTTGCACTCATGCTCTGGTTCAGCCTCTCATTGCTCAAACTTAACACTGGCGACGAGGATGGGATGGCTACCAGAAGCACCATGCAACCGCTGAGTCACTAGCCACCGATCCGCAGCCCAGAGAGAGCGATCGGCCGGCTGCAAGAGAAACGCTGACCCGCAGCCAGAGAGAGCGGTCAGCCAACAAAAAGAGCGAACGCTGATCCGCAGCCAGAGAAAGCGGTCTGGTTCGAAAGTTAGAAGTGTCTGTAGCCGCTTGTTAGCCCAGCTACAGGGAAAGTGAAGCGCTGCGAGCCGCAGCCGCTCAGAATTAGGCGCGAAATTCAAACGGGTGTCATTTGAATTTCAAACCAAGAGAGACACAGCACAGCGCTGTAGTAGTCACTAACGCCCACGCTGGCGCGAATCTAGACACCTCCAACGGCTAGCAGCCAACGTGGTAACCCAGAGAGAGAAAGAGAGGGTAGCAAAAAACCTCTCCAGAGCTGATATCACTTGCAACCCACGAGCACCCGTTGTCCCCAGAGAGATTTTTCCGCAGGTAGCCCAGCCGTTTCCAGCACCATGAGTTCCAACCCAGTATTCCCGGCGTTCAAACCAGACGAAGAGAAGTGGGAATCGTATAAGAACCGCTTCAACCATTACATCGATGCGGTCGGCCTGGCGGATGCGGGAGAGCATCGGAAAAAATCCTATTTCCTAATCTACTGCGGAGCCACCGTTTACGATACTGCCGCAGCACTCGTAGCTCC